GGGTCAAACCACCCTTCCACAGAGGTTGCCCAAGACCATCCTGAATATCAGATATTTATATTATGATTCATAACAGTAGCAAAGTTACAGTTGTGAAGCAGCAATGAACATCATTTTATGGTTGGGGGGGTTGGTTCACCACAGCATGAGGAACTGCATTAAAGAGTCACAGCATAAGAAGATGGAGACCCACTGCTCTGGATAGAAGCAGGATGGAGACACTGGGTGGTTTGGGTCTAGCACTGGGGGCCCGGGTGTGGGGATCCATAAACCATCAATCACGCATCAGCTCACCTCATGGCCACCCCACTTGCCCGCTGGCCCTTTGGAAGCTCCTGGTGGATTACTGCCAGCACACTGTGTCTTGGAGGAAAAACAAAACAAACAAAAAGGATCAGAAGTCAGGACAAAGTGAATCCTTATGGCTGGCCTGGACTTGGCCATGTGCTGAGCAGAGCACGTGGCAAGATGGGGCGGGGGTGTCTGTATCACTAGGGACTCCATGGGACCACAGGGGTGCCCAGTTACAGATGGGGACACTGAGGTCTCCATGTGTCCATCCAAGGGCAGTGGGGCCTGGAAGAATAGAGGGTCCTCCCCACTCTAAGGCTGGATGGCTCTCGGCTCCATGCCCCGCCTGTGTGTACAGTCCAGCACTGTAGGGGGTAGGCAACATTTAGACAATAGACAAGATGGTGGGAGACAGCTTCTCACTTCAGCTCTTCCCGAACCTGGCAAAGGACTCATCAAGCAGGTACTGGAAGGAGTGCAGACAGGAGGTCAAGGATCCAGCTGGGACAGCTGTGGCTGTCTCCAGGAGGTCTGTGTCTCTGCAATAGCCAGGGGTTGGCTAAGAGGCTGAGGCTCCTGACAGCCCTGGGGAGCCATGCAGCAGAGCCCACGTCTCCCTGGCCTTGAAAAGGTCATATTCCACTGCCCTCCCTGCTTGGACATTCCTACCTCATGTTGGACAAGGGACCCTTCATTTCCATCTTGTGCCCGGCCCTTGCTGATAGCTACTTTGAAGGAAATAGGCCAGAGGCCCCACATCCCCACAGCCAGTGCTAAGAGCCCCATGCCTCCTCTCACCCCTGACTCTACCATTCATTTTCTGACTGCTTTTCAAAAGTCGCTGGCCACTCTTAGAGACAGTTCCTTCCTTTTCGTATAAGACATTACATCCCATAGCATGTCTGCAGACACCCAAAGGGAGAGGCAGCCAGAGGGAGGCATGCCCAGGGACTGTCCACCTCTCCAGAAGCCTACACAAACACACAGAGCCAGACCCTACCCAGGCTTCCGCCTGTCGGCCCAGCCAAGGCCCTCAGTACAGTGGGTCATCTCTACCGAAAGAAAAAGGTGCCAGAGTAGGGGGTGGCAAGACGCAAGGTGGCTTTGTGTTCTGGAAATAGAAGCCCAAGTTGCTCATGAGGCAGAGGCCATGAGGAAGAGGAGAAAGGCAAGTGTGGGTCAGGCTGTGGCCGCCCCTCTCCTCACAGTGATCTAAGCCCAGCACGGTGTGGAACTGCCCTACCCTGCCCTGCTGGTAACATTTGCTGCTGCCCACTTATGCTCACGCTGTCTCTCTCTCCCTCCCCCTCTCTTCCCCCTCTCCTCCCCCTCTCCTCCCCCTCCCCCTCCTGTGACATCCCCCACAGTCCAGGAGTGAAGAGGGCTGAGGTTGTGTTGTGTTTCTTTTGTTTTAGGAGGGTGTTTGTTTGCTTGTTTTTCTCCCCATCACAAATGCCTCTTTACATTCTCTGGATATTTTCCCAGCTTCGGGCTAGGTGCAAGCTGCGAAGCTGCCCAGAGTAACTTCCGTTGATTCAGCAATTTCAAGTCTCAGAGGCTTCCAACTGTTCTCATGCATCTCACCTTTAATCCCAGCACTCGGGAGGCAGAGGCAGGCGAATCTCTGAGTTCGAAGCCAGCCTGGTCTACAAAGCTACACAGAAAAACTGTTTTGAAAAATCCAAAAATAAATAAATAAATAAATAAATAAATAAATAAATACTGCATTCCCCAACCTGGTGTGTGGATACAGAGCAAGGCCTAGCCAGGGCTGATCTGATCAAGAGGACAACAATCCAAGGACTGGTTCAGTTCAGGTCGCTTAAGGAATTACCCGAAGGCTTCATGCCTGTGATTTAGTTGGTTAAAGCACTTGCCATGAAATAAGAGTGGAAGCCCTGGGTCCCCAGAAGTCCCTGTGTCTTCTCTCTTCTTGGTGGACGCACCAGCTTTGTTTGTGGCATTGTCCTCACTGTCCACAATGAGCGCCGGTGCACATTGTCCATCCACAAATCCTTCCGTAGCCTGCAAGCTCACGTCAGCTCTGATCCCACCCAGCAGAGCGTAAACTTTATGTCACTTGGTGGACTGTGCTGGAAGTGTACCAGCCCCAGAACAGGATGTCACCAAGGTTTGGTGGCAACTAGAGGCATGTCACAAAGGCTCTGGGCTCGTCCACTAAGGAGGCAACCAGAATCTCTGCCTTTGAGTTTGTCTCCTATCTGCAATGCTAGCTGTCAAAAGCCATGTCAGGAGCACCCATGGAAGGGGCCCTCACTGTAGACAGGCACAGAAGATGGTTTGCAGGTTCTCAGTGTGACCTGATTCCTACCAGCAAGGGAGAGAATGGATTATAGGGCAGTGTTTCTCAACCTTCCCAATGCTGTGACCCTTTACTTTAATCCAGTTCCTCATGCTGTGGTGACCCCCAACCATAAAATTATTTTTGTTGCTACTTCATAACTGTAATTTTTCTACTGTTACAAGTCATAATGTAAACATCTGATATGTAGAATGGTCTTAAGCAACCCTTGTGAAAGGGTCATTTGACCCCCAAAGGGGTCATGACCTACAGGTTGAGAACTGCCGCACTAGGGGAAATGACTTGCTGAACTGGGGTGTTTCGTCTGTAAGACAGATAAAAATGTTCCTGCCACCACCAGGCTTTGTGAAGGTCAGCACAAGGCCACAGGACCCCAGCCTGTCACAAGCACCCACACGGCAAGCAAGCGCTGTGCTGGCTGGGGCTGGTGTCTGTGTTTGCATGACTACTGACTTGAGTTCTGCCATCTGCCACTGGGTGGGCGGGGCAGTGAGTGTGTGTGACAGAAGCCATGGTAGCTGGCAGTGGGTCCCCTTCACCATTGGGCTCATCATCCAGGAGGCTGACTCAGGCCAGTGAGCAAGGCAGTGACATGCCACTCAGCCAGCCAGCTTCCTCAGAGTCACATGGGAGGACCTGATGCCGATAGAGGCCAGAAGGACCTGTCATGCTTTAGAACTTTTAAAGCCACTCAGGGAAGGTCCGTGGAGGCTGTGTAGATGCTGTGGTGATTAGGAGGTGACAAAGGAACAGACCTGGGAAACACTCTCCCACTCAGGTCAGGGAGAGGTATCTGAAGCCACTTGGGAAGGTCAAAGCCTGGGTTGGCAGTCTGAGTTCATCTCTTGATGGAATTCATCTGGGTTGTAGGTGCTTTCCTTTCCTCCCGTGTCAACTGTCGTAGCTGGGAGAAGAGGCCTGGAACCTTTCTCCTGGTTCCCCAGCTTCCTACACTAAAGTGCTTGCAGAGAAGGCTGCCCCGCACCCAGCCCTGGTGAGCTGCTTCTCCTGGGAGTGGACCAGGCTGCTGAAGGGGTGCTGTGCTTCCCAGATGGCCATGAGGTCCTGAGTCTCTGTGTCCTGCCCTATCGTCTGTCCCTACTCCTACAAGCAAGAAGGGTGGTACAGACTTCCTGCAGCCTCTTCCCTTGCCTGGCCCCAGCCATGGAGACGCCATTCCTGATGCTGTCAGCACAGCTGCTGCTTAAAAACACAGGGGAAACCCGGTGTCCTCCACCAGCAGAGTGTCAGGGTCTCTGGGGCAAATGCACAACACTCCTTCCTTCCAAGTGGAATATTCGCCAGCCTGCATGGCCTTGGCCATGGGGTCCTTGTTCATGGTGCTTACTGATGGAGGCTGTGTGGGAAAGGCAAAACCGGTGGAAGTCTGCTGGTCTCCTCAGCTCAAATGTGGAAACTCTGGAGCCCCCGGAACTTGGGGGTTCGATTTTCTGTTCACACTTACCTGCTCATGGTCACCTCCTGCACACGCTAACCTCCCACTGTCTCAAGGCTCCATGCCAGCCAGCTGGTTCCAGTTGTGACAAATCTGGCTGTCATTGTCTGTCCTCAGCTGGGCAACCTCCAGGCCCTTGCTTTCCTAGAAGGTGATTTGGGGTGTGTGTGTGTGTGTGTGTGTGTGTGTGTGTGTGTGTGTGCGCGCGCGCGTATGCGCACACTCATTGAGATGGGGGAGTCTCATCTTGTCATCTAGTCTAGACTGGAGCTTTTGGGCTGTGTGACCCCTCCTAACTCAGCCTCCTGAACTGATGGGTCATCAGATGCCCACCACCTCACCTGGTACTCGGCAGTCACCTATGAACAGCCCCTCCGGGGAGTGCTTCTTCATTAATGCTCTTCACCATAGCATCTACAGATAAGATACACAGCAACACCTTGCTGCTGAGTGACAGGGACCCCTCTGTTCTGAGAGCACTGCTTTTGGTACAAGAAGGTCATTTCCCAGAGCCCTAGTACCCATGAGTCCCAAGAACCTGATGGACCAGCTGTCTGCCCCTCACTGGACAGATGAAGAAGCCAAGGTTCTGGGGCAGTGGGCACATGAAAGGAGCAATATGAGTTTAATTGTCCCCCTCTGAGGAAGAGTCTGGGTTAAAGAGCCCTGGACTGGAAGAGCTTTGCTTGCCTCCTTCACCTACTTCTGAACATCCCCTAAGAAATCCCTTGAGCTCCTTGTTCAGTCTGTTTGTAAACTGTGGCAAAGCTACTTGTGCCTGCTACGTAGCCAACAAGGTGTTTGGAACTCACCTATGGGCACCTGAGGTATGTGGCCCTGGGCATTGAGTTACCTCGCTTTAAATCCCTTCTGATCAGAACACAGTGGTTGTGTCTGTCACTCAGAGCACTCTGCTTGTGGCTTTTCCAGAGCAAGTCATGGAGGAAGATAAAGAACATGGTGCAGTGGTCCCCCTTTGTCATGTCCTTCAAGAAGAAGTACCCCTGGATCCAGCTGGCAGGACATGCAGGTAGTGGACGCGGCTCTCCTAGGGAGGTGGTGGAGGCTGAGGGAGGGGAGGCTGGTGCCTGGTGCTCCAGGAGGCGGCAGCCCTAGAACAGACCCTGGCAGAAGGTGTGGCCTTTGCGTTGCCTTCTAAGTGCCTGCAGACAGTTGATCTTTCCAAAGATCTTGCCACTCTGCCCCAAGAGTATATCCATCCCACCTATCCTGTCCTAATTCTTCGCTTTGTTTCCCAACTCCATCTAGTTTCACTCACTAACACAGTTCCAGATCAGTTCTTTGTAACTTGTTTACCCTTTGCAATCCTGGACAGAGAGGCAAAGCTAAACCTCTCAGTGAGCAGCCACGGTGTAAGCCTGCATCACCGTGTTCTAGGGGCTACAGTGCCAGTGGAGATACAGCCTCACCTGGAAGGACTCTGCAATGGCCTGGGCACGGCTAAGAGGCCATGGGAGAATTGGTGGGAGATGCAGCCAAGTCACCCCGTAGACACCAAAGTGCTGGCAGTCAGCTTGGCCCCATATGGTGCCCTTTAACATGTTTTTTTGTCCTCTGGGGAAACCTCATAGGCACCCATGGACTTGACCCTCATGATTTCATGGGCCTGCAGGTTCTTTTCAGGCCAACACAGGCTTAGACCAAGATATAGATGAACACCCTTTGTTAATACTCCTTGAGGGTGTGGCTCTGAAGGGACACTGACCAGAAGGCCCGTGCCCACTCTGTCCCCTCTCTAGGCACTGAGATTCTTCTCCTAAGACTCAGGGGCACCTGCTTGGTTAAGAAGTAGGGCTGGGATCGGGGTGAGTTGCTCATAGTAATACTGAGGAGTGGGTAGAACTCTGCACTGTCCTGTTGATAACTTTGGTTGTGAGGAGCTTGGAGTCAGAGGAGGCAGAGAAGAGCAGCCAGGGTTGCAGTCAGTGAATGGGTGACCAGGATTTGTAGCCATTTGCCTTAAGTTACTTGTCTATAAATGGCCACACCTTCAGCCCTCAGCTTGGCCAGGGTTGTGTCTTGCAGCAGGAGGGGGACGGTTCTGATGCAGCTTCCAAGGGGTTGTTGGAAGAGACAGGGGTGAGGGTGGGGAGGGGTCCCAGATACCCCTGGCTTCCGCTGCGGCTAGAGACCCCCTCCTCCTCCTTACTCTGCAGGGAGCTTCAAGGCAGCTGCCAATGGCCGCATCCTAAAGAAGCACTGTGAGTCTGAGCAGCGATGCTTGGACCGGCTCATGGTTGATGTGTTGAGACCCTTCGTGCCAGCCTACCATGGGGACGTGGTGAAGGACGGGGAACGCTACAACCAGATGGATGACCTGCTGGCTGACTTCGATTCACCCTGCGTGATGGATTGCAAGATGGGCATCAGGTGAGCCCTACTCCTTACTGCGTATGCTCCTCCCGATCATGCCTGGCTATGCCGAGGACACGGGGTGCTGGCTCTGCCCTGTGATCTAGAGAAGACAAGGCAGGGGCCCTGGCGGGGTGCTGAGCCTCTTGGGGACCAGGCAGAAGAGCTGCACACTAGTTGGGGGGAGGGCTGCTCCTGAAGGTGAGTGCCCAGCAGGGAGGAAGCAAGCAATGATCTCCTGGTCAGTGAGCCTCAGTGGAGACAGGAACGGAGAGAGAGACCACAGAGCAAGTGTGTAATACATGCTGGTTTCAAAAAAGAAGAAGCAAAAGGACCTGCCACTAGGGTGCAACTATAGATGGAGTCTGGGAGCTGCAGAGGCCCCTGTGGCAGGTGGCAGGTGGGCCTGAAGTGACTCCACACCTTGCAGAGAGCTCCAGAGCCTGGAGGGCCATAAAGCCCTCCTCCCTGCCTCCAGGCTGCCAGCCTCTGAGGTTTCCAGTACTGCATGTCCACCCCAGAGAGCCTGATTTTGGCTGCAGATACCCATGCTGGACAGTGGACTGAGTTCAGAGCTGAAGCCCGTATCTGATTTGAATAGTTCATCTGATCTGGGGTGGCTGCGTATGCGTGTGCTTTGGTCTACACATGTGCCTGTGGAGGCTAGAGGTCAGCCCTGGGTCTTGTTCCTCAGGAACTGGCCAGCCTCTTTTCTAAGACCTCTCTGATCAGGTGGGCTTCCCCCCCCCCTCCATCTGCCGAGCACTGGGATAAGTGCATGCCCCAATGCCTTACCTTTTATGTGGGTTCTAGGGATCGAACCCAGGTCCTCGGGCTTGTGTGGCAAGCACTTTACCCTCTGATCTACCTCCCCAGCCCACCAGATGTTGTTTCTTACACGAAGATACCGAGAAGGAAGAAGGGAGAGCTCGGTGCGCTCTGATTAAGGCAATCACAACTCCTTTCTTCTCATTCCTCCTGGAGTTCTGTCCTAAGATCAGCCCCTGCCAGCTGACCAAGACATATCCCTTTCCTTTGTCTCTAGTGTAGGGATGGGGTCATGGAGAAATCCAAGCCCTGCTGTTAGTTCTTCCTATCACTAGCTACCTCCTGCATTCCAAAGCCCCCCGGTGTCTTGGCCCACAGGGAGCTAGGGCAGGTGAGGGAGAAAGCAGAATGTCCTTGAAGCCACCACACAGCCTCAGCTCTCTGGCTGTTTTATTCCTGTCTCCAGAAACTTCTTTCCACAATGCACTGGAATATGTCCACTCAAACAGAGGCCCTGACCTTCCTTCCAACGTGGGAAGACCAGGGCTCAGTCTGCCTACAGGAGAGGGAGGTAGGCACATGCGCAGTCCCACAAGGCAGTCCTCCAGGTGCCTAGACATGTACAACTACACCTGAAAGTCAGCCCTGCCTGGACCTCCTGACTTGTGTGGCTGACTGCTCCCTGGGGAACTGCAGGGACAGGGTACCCATACCCCCAAGCTTTCTTTGTCTCCTAGCCCAGTAGCCTCTCTCTCTTTGTACCTCAGAGCTCTTCCACCCAAAGGGGCTCAGTTAACCCCATCCTGCATGGGGCTAAGGAATGGGCCAGGACTCTCCAGAAACATCACTCACCCCAGCTCTACCTTTCCCACACACAGACCCTAAGAGCCTTCTGTGCTCTGAGCACAGTACTAAATACCTCAGCCACACTGTCCTAGTGTGTCCCACAGCCAGCCACACTGGGAGGGTAGGCCATGCTATCATTTGATCAGGGATCGCCAGGGATCCCTTCCTGATAGCGGCAGCACAGATGTGCCCAGGTCTATGGACTGCACACCAGGACTCCAACTGTGCTCTGTCTTCCATGGATATGCCAGCAGTCCAGTTTCCACAGGGCTCCCTGGAGCGGCAGGCTAGTCCTCTCCAAAATGCAGTAGCTCAGAAACATAGCCCTCTGTGCATGCACTCAGATAGGCAGTCTGTGGTTGTCAACAGAGCATGGCCTGTCCTTGCTTCAGAAAGAGGCTAGGACACAGGTCCTCGTCAAACACTAGGTTTCAGGGCATGAGGCAGAGGCTTACAAAATAGTGGGAAGGCCTGTCAGCAGAGCCAGGCTTAGTCATGGTGGATTATAGCTGGGGGTACTGAGGAAGTCGTGTGGACCCTGGAGGCATCTTAAACCAGGGTGTTTCTAGGGACCTGGCTCCAAGTTAGAGGGTGCTCACACTGCTCATAGGCAACCCAGTCACTGTGGTTGAATCTTTGTCATTCTGACCTAGGACTGGGCTGGGTCCAGCCCCTGGGCCCTGGAGAAGCTGTTCTCGCCTTGTCCCTGACATCTGTTGGTCTCCCATGGTCTGGCCACCTCCCTTTCTTTATCTTGAGTCAGCCTCTTTCCCAGATTCTGGCCATCAGGGAACAGGTCTCTGTGGATCTGTTCTCTGGGCTCCAGAAGTTGATGAGCAGGTCTCTGCTCTCCATGCTCAGGCATTGCCTCTGCAGCAGGCAGTGAGAGGGACCAATGGTTCCTCTAATAGACCTTTTACCCAGCTAGTAGCTGTTGGGAACATCCCTTCCAAGCCCCTGTCCATGCCTGAGGAGCATTTGACTCTGCCTGTCAAATGGAGCTGTGGGGGCCCCTTTGAAGAAAGGTCCATGTTTAAGGAGATGCTGAGAACTCTTGGCACAAGTGTGGCTCCTGCCTGCCCTGCAGGCCTGCATTGCACTCTCAGGGGTTTTAGGCATGAGTTCCTTCCCCACGGTACACAGGTCCACTGATAACTCGGTGTCTGCCTACACGGTAGTGTGCTGTGTGCATGAGCGTGTATGAGTGTGAGTGTCCATGGCACATGGGATGTATATGCATGCAAGAACCCAACCTGAGCTAATGCACTCCCCTTACAGTCTTCCCAGAAACCAGGACCCGTTTACACACGCACATCCCAGGGAATTGGGAGTTCTCTCTTTCTGTGTAAATACTAATGGGTGCAGGGGTTTCTGAAATCATTTCCGTCTGTTCTGAAACCCAGACTGGCATTCTGGGAAAATGTGGAGAGGCACATTGGGACAGTGCCTGGGGGGCAGGAAAGAAGAGTGGTCAGGGGGAAGGGAGGGTGCCTCTGAGGCAGCTCACACCCACGCAGGGCGCAAGGGGCCCACTTCCCCATCCTGCAGCTGACTGCTGACCGCGCTGCCTCATGAGGGCCCGGGCAGCGTGCACACAGCTGGGAAGGCTGTTGCAGGGGAGAGGGCTGGAGTGAGTCATCTTTCTAGTTGGAGGTGATGGTGAGAGTTTGTGAGGGTAGTGCTAAGATCTGGATGGGTCCTCGAGTTCTGAACTGAGGACTCCACTCCAGACAGCTCTGAGCCTGGCCTGTCTCTGCCTGTCACGTCCCCCAGGAGCTTAGTGTCCTTACCCATTTAGCCTGCAGACTCCTCTTACAGCAAAGGGAAGCACATAAGGCAATTCATATTCTCTTAGTCTTCCTGGGATCAGTTTTATCTCTGAGACACAACTGGGCTATGGAGCCCTGAGCAGCCCTCTCCAGCATAGGTCACTCGGATCCCACTGCAGCACAGGTCACTCGGATCCCTCTCCAGCACAGGTCACTCAGATCCCACTTATGCTGCCCTTTGTGCTTTGATGAACTCTGCTGCAAAAAGCCAGAGATGCCACCCAGCCGCAGGCTGAAGGGGACAGGGAGAAAGGTTGGAAGGACAGAATATGCTCTCCAGGTTGCCAGGGCACATCAGAGTTCCAAGAGGAACCCACCTTCTGTCTCTTTTCCACACATTGAGCACTGTCCTTACACCTGCCTTCTGCTGACCCTAGAAAAAGTCCCTTAGAGGGGGCTCCTAAGTTTATCAGGCCTTCACAGTGCCAGCATCAAGGTGCTCTGGGAGCACTGGGGATGCTCTGTCTCTCAAATGAGCTCAAACAGTGCATGGATCTCCCATTGAATATGCCTCATCTTAGATGTTGCTATGTTAACCATTGTCCTGGAACCAGGCACAGCCAGCTCAGGGTCTTCATTCACCAGGGAGCTGTAACCCAGCCCTAGGACTCATGCCCTTCATCTCCCATGCAGGACATACCTGGAGGAAGAACTCACCAAGGCCCGGAAGAAGCCTAGCTTGCGGAAGGACATGTATCAGAAGATGGTTGAAGTAGACCCCGAGGCCCCGACTGAGGAGGAGAAAGCTCAGCGAGCTGTGACCAAGCCACGTTACATGCAGTGGCGAGAAACCATCAGTTCCACAGCTACCCTGGGCTTCAGGATCGAGGGCATTAAGGTGAGACCTGTGAGGTGTGGCCTGAGGATGCTGAGGATCATGATTGTCAGTGGTGACCAGGGACTTGGGATGCTGGAGTCTGTAAGTCTCACCTCTACAGGCCTAAGTATGGACAGCCAGCCTCAGAGGTGTTTGCCCATTCTGCAGCTGAAGATGCAGGTGGCAGACCTTGAAGTGGAGGTGGCTTATTTGTAGGGCTGTACAGAGGACCCCACATAGGCGCCAGCTTGGATGCCTGCCACAGGAAAGGTGTGGGCTCACTGCCAGTAAGGAGAGGTGTGTGGCTACCTGGGATGGCCTTGGAAACCTCATCGTCCATCCCTTCCTCTTGGGTGCCCTGAAAAGGAGCTCGTATCCCATTCCATGTCCCTAACTACTAGACATGCAAGACCTAGCTAGAAGCAGGGAGAGGGAATACAGGCTCCCCATGTCTCAGGTGGCCATGCTTTCAGGGCAGGTGACTTGACTGTCCCTCCAAGGGCCCTGGTCCTCCCTTTTTCTCCCCAGGCAAGGTCTGCCTGGCCCCTCTCCAGTATGGAGTCAGAGTTGGGTAGCTTGCTGCTGTAGCCTTCTCTCATATAATGTGGAGATGTGCGTTCCTGAGATCACCAGGGTCTCACTGGCTTCTAGAGCTTAGGGAGTGAGAAAATCATTTGTCCTTCCTTCTCTTCTGAAAGCAACCTTCTTTCTTGGAAGTATCCAGCTCTCAGACTGGATGCAATTTATATATACACGTCCTCTCCATTTGTGGTCTGTCTGAACAGCATGCCCTGGCACCGTTCACCCAGGCAAGATGTGCTCCTGGCCGCAGTTTCGTATAGCCGACAGCATCCACCGGCCGAGGGAGGCTAACTGCATGCACCACCATTTGCCCTTCCTTGTCCCAGTTAGCAGGGAGGCCCTACAAGGAAGGCTCCCATTCACTGCTCCCTCCGACCCAGCTGCTTGCTGTTTCCCTGCAGCAAGCCTTCCTGAAGTTATAGCTGTCACCTGTTTCAGACTGGAGGTGGACAGGTGCAAGGGCCAGGGTTCCTGCCGGACCCACCCTTCCAACCCGAGTGTCTCAAGAGAACAGAGCTCTGTGTGCTTGCCCAGGACAGCCTGAACAGGAGTACTGAGCTCAGAACATGGAGATGGTGGATGAGGGAGTGGATGAGAGACACAGGCTTACACCACAGACTTGGGGGATCTGCATAGTATCCCCTGCAGCGCATTACAAGACCCAAACCAAATGTCTGGAATCTAGAGAACCAATATGAAATTGTGCACATACATGTATGAGAATGTATGACATATGCACACACACACGCACACACACACACACTTCTTTTATACCTTTTCCCTTAGAGACACTTTATCGCTTCTGTTTGCCAAATCATAAAAATTGCCAGCATTGGGGCTGGAGAAGTGGCTCAAAGGTTAAGAACACTTCTAGAGGTCCTGAGTTCAATTCCCAGAAACCACATGGTGGCTCACAACCATCTATAATGAGATGTGGTGCCCTCTTCTGGTATTCAGGCATAATGCAGGCAGAACTCTGTATACCTAATAAACAAATAACCAAAAAAAAAAATTGGGGGAAAAAAAAAAAAAAAAAAAAAAAAAAAAAAAACTAAGTACCAGCATTGTGGCTCTCATGCTTTGGGTCACTATAAAATGAGGGTCACTTGAACACAAGCCTATGATAGGGTGATAGTTAGCCTGATCATCCAGATGGCTGCTAACACACATTGCTGTCTCAGACACCCTCACACCACCAGGACTTCCTAAAGCAGTGTGTGGCCAGGGGTCTAGGGCCACTCTGTGAATTCCTCTGTTGGGGCCCAGGACAGGTTCTCCTGCACCAGGTGACAATGGCCTTGTTGTACCTGCCTTCCTGCACCATCCCTGGGCACCTGACCACCTCCACAGAGCAGCGTGAGGGTCATGATCGTGAGCAGTCCATCCCATGGGCCCTCTGCTGACTCCTCTGGGTGCCTCCCTCTGCAGAAGGAAGATGGCTCTGTGAACCGTGACTTCAAGAAGACCAAAACGAGGGAACAGGTCACTGAGGCCTTCAGAGAATTCACTAAAGGAAACCAGAACATCCTGGTGAGTCAGGGTTTGGGGTCAGGGGACCATCCCTTCTCCAACCTAGCTAAGTCAGGATTGATGATGAAACTGTAGCCCCAGACTTCTGTGTGAAGGTGACCTGGCTGCCCCCAGAATCCATGGGTTCTCAGAGAAGCTTGGGAACACTGGCTCATCTCCTGAGCTGTCAGTCACTCTGTCCCAGCACACTGCCCTTCCCTGGCAGGAGTTCTGTATAGAGTACTGCCGCTGGCCGAGTGCTATAGTGAGTGTTCATCACATCCCCCTTGTCCTGAGGTGAGGACAAGCAAGCAGACATTCTCATCTCCATTTGACAGACAAGGAGACTTGAAAGGTCAAGAACACACATAGAGAAAGACAGAGCTAGGGGTTACACCTAAGCAGGCCCAGACCTGTAAGGCTGGAATGCACACAGCAGGTCCGCAGTACTAGTCCTCTGGTGCCTGGGAGCCTGTCTGGATCATTTCAGACCCTCAAGAGTCATGCCACCAACTGCATTTCTAAGAAGGGTTGATCGCTGTTGCTAGGGACCCTGTGTCACTACGGGAACCCTGTAATATGGGCTTCCCTGATGACCCCATACTCATGGGTGATGAGACTCCCAGAGCTAGTCCTTGGGAATAATCAGATACCCCGTTGCTAACACAGGAAGATCTGTAAGGCTCTGTAGAGGGGACTCATGTAGAGATACTGTGGTTTTCCCCTTACCCTGTCTTTAGTTAGGGACACAGCACTTTATGGTCAAGAAGTTACCATGGCAACCAGTTCTGGGCTCTGACTTTGATGGTTGGCATGCTGGGAGAGTCTGCCCCCTCATGGAGGAGGTTGAGGGGACACATAGGCCTCTGGGAAAGGTATAACTCTGAGCTCAGCTGGGGTAAGTGAGGTTGGAGTAAGTGATGAGTCCAAGGTCTCTGCTGCTTATAATTCGGTGACTCAGATGAACTACATGGATCTGATACCATGACCCCACCCCTGCACACAGACAAAGTATGTGAAACCCTGACCATCTCTGTCCTCAGATCGCCTACCGGGACCGGCTGAAGGCCATTCGAGAAACTCTGGAAATCTCTCCCTTCTTCAAGTGTCATGAGGTAGGGTACTGAGCCTTCAGACTGACAGGCATGCCCCGCCTGCTTGACTGACACCCCTCACCATCACCTCCAGTTCCAGTCGGAAGTGAAATTGCTGACCCAAGCCTCCCTCAGGATCATGTAGCCCCTGGCTTTTCGTAGCCTCTCCAATACCTAAGTACCTAGCTGTGTCTCCTAGCCCTAATCTCCAGGCTCTGCCCCTCTCCCTCCTCCTGGGCCTGTTGTGTCCATTTACCTCCCCTCCTCCCAGCCCTGCCCCGGCCTGGGCCTGGCCCTGCTTCCTGCCCCCTTCCTCATAGGCCCACTTCCCTCCAGGTCATTGGCAGCTCACTCCTTTTCATCCATGACAAGAAGGAGCAAGCCAAGGTGTGGATGATTGACTTCGGGAAAACTACACCCCTACCGGAAGGCCAGACCCTACAACACGACGTCCCCTGGCAGGAGGGGAACCGGGAGGATGGCTACCTCTCGGGGCTGAACAACCTCATCGACATCCTGACAGAAATGTCCCAGGGCAGCCCACTCACCTGAGGCCACCGCCACCTTGCCTGCCACCTCTGCCTCTCCCACTCCCTGGCTTCCCCTAACTCTTCTTCATTCCTCTCTGAGCGCCCACCTAGAACAGAGCCTCCCATCTGCACTACAGGACACTTAGGAGAAGAAAAGACATTTTCTAAGTCTCTTTCCTGCCTACACAAGGGCCTGGAGGTGGCGTTTCTAATTTTCTCTAAATAGAACTGCCTTCTGGAAGAGAATTACCCAAAGCTATGCCCTGCATCCCGCACAGTCAGTTGCACTTAGGGCTGGCCTGGGCCCAAGAGGCCCTGGGATCTCACGAGGGTCTTGAGAAATTGAGCCTCCCTCTGAAAGACCCCCCAGAAAGTTCAGGCCCAGACTGGCTACCCGTGGAGACCTGCTGCCCCCTGGTGGCTGGTGCCATCAGTATACAATGCCCCATTGGAGCCTCCCACCATGGGCTCTGAAGCCAGGCCAGGGTCCTGATTTCTGGGAGTTGGGAACACAGCCTCTGAGGAATCTGCATGTGGCTTATGAGTAAAGAATTCTCCAGTGAGAGGGCCCAGCTTCCAGGAGCACTGTGTGCCCTTTCTAGAGATGCTAAATCAGGCCCCACCTCGCTGGTATTAAACACTTAGGATTCAGGCCAGGCTAGGAGCCAGGAGTATGGGGAGCAGCTTGACTGTTTCTAAAGAACTTTGCTCTTCTATCTGGGACCACTGCCCATGAATTCAGAGGGGTCATTCTGCAAAGCTAAGCGTCCAGGGATGATGCTACATCCTAGAGCCCTAGATCTGCCCTGCTATGGAACGGTCCAGAGCTGGGTAGAATACTCAAGGTCCATACCAACTTCCAGGGATCTGCAGCAGCTCTGAGAGCCTGCCATACCGAGGAGAGGAGACTACTGTCTTGTCCCTTCAAATCGTTGGTAGCCAGGAACCCCTGCCTCCATACCTGGAGTCCCTCCATAGGGGAACCTTTAACAATTCGGGCTGTACCAGGCCTTAGGGAAGCAAGATTTGAGCTTCCTGGAATAATTTATAAATTTCCCTTGAAGTCTCTTGCTCTTCCACTTGAAGGGCTTATACCCATGTTTCTCACTGTCGTGTGGGTAGTTCCCAGAGCTCATAGGGGTACCCAGGACTGTCCCGAGCCTCCTCCTTCCTGAAGCCCTGAGCTGCTTGAAGGGCCGTGGGGGACCATTGTTAATCACCACCTCAACTGTGAGGCCAGTGACCTGTCTGACTGAAAAGAGTATATGATTTGTGTGACAGCTAAAAGACAACTCCCAGCTTTGTTGCCATTTGGAGCTATCCTCTGGACTTGTCACCTCCTCTATTACTGAGATACTCTGGGTCACATGTACAGATGCTCTTCTGGGTGCCAGGCCAGCAGACACAGCTTGGGAAGACCAAGGGAAATGGGGTAGACCACTGGGTCCACACCTAGAAAGATAGCTTTGGGCAGGGGTGGCCGTCTTGGCCGCCTACCCTAGCTCCCTGGAGTTTCTAGAAGAACTGTTGGCCCATGTGACATATGTGTTTCCCCTTTCATGCTGGTGGGTGAGTGACAGTTGGTGGGGGCGGGAGGGGGGACCCGGGAGGAGGCAGAAGTACAGATTTTAAAAAAGGAACTCATTTAAACTTCCTGGCTCCTGTTCAGATGGTGGTGAGGCTCCTGTGTGGGCTGACTTTCTAAAGGTCACGCCACACCCCCCCCCACCCTGCACCCCCATCAGTGAGCCCAGACCTTGTGACAGCACGTGATTGGGGAGAGAGGCAGCCTGAAGTGGGGGAGGCAGTAGCAACCGGGCAGCAAGCTCTGGGACTGTCCAGCTGTAGTTGCTGGAGGGCTTGAGAGGACCCTGTGGTCTGTACATCAGCTGTACCCTGGGAAGGGGCATCATGAATTCCAAGAGTGTAGCGATGATCTGGCCCAAACTCCTCCACTGCTATCTCAGCAAAAATGTCTTCTAAAGCAAACTATGCTATGAACAAAATTGCCAGGGACCAGTTCAATGTATGTAAGAGAACATAACTCACCAAGCACTTTAATATCACAGAAATGTGCTCAGGTGCTGTGACACCTGTCAGCAAGAGCTTAGGACAGTGCTGGACAGTGCTTTGCACTGGGATGTTTTGTAAAGTGGTGTGGAGAGGCATCTCTCTAGGGTTATTCTGTTACTAAGGGTGTTTCGCTTCATTGGGTTTTTTGTATTTACCATGTTAGCACCCACACTGTGTCCCCCGAGCCATTCTCCCCCTTCCATCCTGCCAGAGCCTCTCCTCCCTGCCCCACTGGGATGGATAGAGCTCAGATGGAATTTCCCAGAACCTCTGGCCGTCTGATACACCATGTTCACAGTCATGGTGGAGACGCCCAAGGTCCTGGCTATGGGACATGGGGCAGGCTACGTGCACCAATGTGCAGGTGAGGGTCCACGGAGCCCTCCTGCCCTTGGGCCACCAGATTTCTTGGTGGTCAGCCCTGCTTTGCACACTCCTCCGAAGGTTGCTGCAGCCGCTTTCCCCAGACTAGACTTTAGTGCCCTTTAAGAAGTGTGTAAGTTATATTTATTTTGTTGTTGTTTAAATTGCACAAAACACTAAGAGGAAAGGTTGGGCTGCTCCTCCCAAGCTCTGCCTGCCTTCTGGGGGCCTTTCCTTCTTGTCCGGAGGAGCCCTGAGCAGCTGTGGCCTCAAGGAGCTGTTCACCTAGGCTGGTTGTATTTAGCTTTGAGACTGCCTGTGTTCTGCTAACCCTGTGTGTATAGGCCCCACCCCCTGCTCCAGGGTGCTCACCCATCAGTGCCTTCTGGGGAGGAGAGGACCCTTACCGCACCCTGGCTGGCTCTCCTCCTCTGTATTCCTCTCCCCTTGGGACTGTTACATCCCTTGCACAGTGCCCATCATTTGATGTAGACATTCTCCCCTTCCCAATAAAGGCCTTGGAGACCAGTAGTGGTGTGGTGTGATCCTTCTGCCCCCCCCCACGCTCCAACTACCACAGAAGAGCTGTGATGGCCTGCAGTGGTTGTAAGATGGGGTAACAATACCCCGCAAACAATGTGAAACATTCTAAAGAGTCTCTTCTACATACTCTACACCTTTCAACAGTGGCTTGAGTATGTCAGCCAGTGACAAAGATGATTCTCCTGCCCATGGTGGGCTCTGTGCTAGGTACATTCCATCACTCACAGTATGTCACCCGTAATAACAAGACTGTATAGTCTCCACTGATCAGATAGGGAAACTGAGGCTTAGAAAGCCAAACAATTTGGGCTGGGTAAGGGGTAGGGAGGAAAGATTTGAACCCAGAACTTGCCCCCCTTACTGGAGGAGTGTTGGAAGCAGAGCACTGGGCTGCAGACCCAATAGTGCTCATTTAGGAACCGTGACTGTGTCTCAGGGAAACCCTTGACAGCAAAACCCTGTCAGAGCCCTTCACAGCTTCTCTCCAGCTCTGCCATAAGCCACAGCCACCAAAGGACAGTTGGACCCAGAAGACTGATGTTAGCCACTGTTGTGTGAGGCTGCAGACCCTTCCAAGCAAAGTCAACCCACAGCTCCACAGCACTTGCTAAAGGAAAATCAAGCCCCTGGGAGAAGCCTTTGAGCCATCTGCCAGGATGTCAAATCGGTGCCCTCCTGGCTAGCCCCAGGGGGCCTGTGGTCATGGCCAGAACCCTAGGCCCTGGAGAAGGTGATGTTCCCTGGAGAACCCTCAGTAGCAACTTAGGTTGGCTGAGTGGCCCTGAACCATCCATGTTCTTTGCATGCTGTCCTGAACCATCTGACTGGACTTACATCCCTGTCCTCAGGCATGCCATTGCTCCTTGTCACATGGGCCCCAGTACCTCACCTGCCACATGTCCTCTAGACCACCCACAGGACACCATGCTCACCCAACCACAGAGTCCTCATCACCTTCACCTGAAGTCTTTGTAGCAGACCTGGAAGCAAACAAGGAAGTGGGTGGCCTTTGCCTGTTGCATCTCCCGACCACTTTCGGCACCAGGTATCTCAGTTGGGCTCTCAAGAAACTGGTCCCTGCTGGTATATGGGGCAACAGTTAAGACCAACGTCATGTCATGAGACTTATTCAGGGGGGGTGGAAGTTCTGCCTGACTGGGAACAGAACACCTTAGGGAGGCAGGGTAGGAATCTGTATTCAGCTCAGATTCTGCTGCATCTGCCCCTAAGGAATCTGCAATGGCCCAGCCATGTGTGTCAGCACAGGACTGTGACTGCTTAGCCACTCCTGGGAATATCTCCACCAGCTATCAAATCCCTGGGTGCAGTGTGCTCCATGGCCACACCCTCTGGCTAGTCTTCTCCCTGCCCCTTCCACTGGGCAGGGACCCGGGGTGGTGGGACTGTCACCGAACCCTCAGTCTTAGAGGGAGAAGGATGCTGGCAATGAGGGATCTCCAAAGGCTATCCAGGAAGCAGCCTGGAGAGTTCTGGGTGACAGGAAGGAGCCAGAGGGCTGCTCTGAATCTCTGATTATACAGGAGAAGCCTGGAGACTGCATACATCTCAGTATCTGCCAACTTTATCAGCCCAGACACTTCTCCTCCACGTCTGTGCAGGCCCCTTGGTTGCCCCATCTTCACTGATGTGCGATGGGGCTCAGCCTAGCCGAGGGCCCATATGCTCACATATGGCAATGTTGTGTAGTGTGAGGAACACAGGATATTTGGTCCCAGAAATCCTGAGGTGGTGTCTGACCCTGACTGAAGCCCTTCTGAATCCTATACAGGAACATCTGCCTCCTTCCTCCCCACACTGCATGGCTGACTGAATTCTCTGCCCCCCTTGCCCACCCCTCCACTATGCAGCCACCAGAGCAGACATCCTCTTAGAAAGTAGACTTTATAAATAAAGTTTTATTAGAAACAACCAGGTCACTGCTTTTTGTAGCATCTAGGACCTCTTCTGCACCACAGCCACAGATGAGACAAGTACCCCGCCCCCTGTATGGACTGCAGAACTGAAATGGTTTATTCTCCAGCTCCTTAGAACGGCTGCCAAATCCTGCTTGAAAGTAGCTGTGGCCCGAGGTTATGAATTGCTCAGTGTCAGGTGATCGAAAACGACGTGTTTTAATACCTGGTGAGGTGAACCTTGTCAGCCCGTGTTCTACATGAGAGAGTAGAAGCACAGACAAGACCACATGGCTAGAAAACAACAGACCCTGGCATTGGACCAGTCTGGAAACCTGCCTGGATTCTGCATGTCTGCACCCCTGGCCAGTCCGGGGACTGTGTCCTGGTACCTGACTTTGCCACAGGACTGCTAAGACAGCCACGAAGCTGAAGCCTGGGGTATATGGGACAGAGATACCAAAGTCCAGGCAGGGTCAAGGCACCTGATGGGCTCTGCAGGCCTGGAAATAGGACTGGGGACCTGGGACTGCTACAGTGACGGGCTGTTTGTTCTAGGCTTGGAGTGACCCTCCAAGAAGCTCAATATTAGTTTGCATCCATGACATCCAGTGTCCTTTCCCTGCAGACTGAGGGTGCAGAACCAAGTCCGCTTGCCATTCACAGGCTGGCTCCACACACCCTTCCACAGAAATTCAGAAAACACATCCAGTTCCCAAGAACGCCAAGAAACAGCGTGCATGTCATTTTTTTTTTCAATTTCGTTTTTCACTGTGACAGCTGTGGCCCAGCTCCTGGCATTTGGCAAACCGAGCACGGGGCCAGAGATGACACATTCAACAGAGAAGTGAGACTTGGAAGCAGACAGAGCTCAGAGAAGAGGCGTTTCTGCACCTTGCAGAGATGTGGGGAGGCTGGGAGGGAGGGTTTGTAAAGCCAGAAGATGCCCTAGGTGACAGTCACAACCCATGATAGACCCCCAATAAAAAAGTACACAAGAGAAAAATCTCTACCCTGTGGTCCCCTTACTCTGAACACATGGTGCTGAGAACTCCTGCTAGAGTGGACATTTAGAGGTCACAGAGCTCAGGTCACAAAGGTGGAGGGACTCCTTGACAACCAGCATCCTTATTTGTCCTGGTCTTTCTTCCCAAACTTGTGAATGAGCAAAGTGGGATTTAAAGTAGGGGCAGGGGAGAATGTCCCCCCCCCCCCCGTGAACATCTCTGCATTTCAGTGTGGTAGCACGTGTCATTTTAAAAATAGTTTCTGCATATTATGGACAAACAGGATCTGTGACAGCCCCAACAGCAGCAGCCCTGCTCTATTTCAATGAGAAAAAAAAAATCCCCATTTTAGTCATGCTTCTTTCTGAGAATTCATGCTGGAGTGAATTCAAGACAGCTGAGAAACAGCAAGGCCCCACAAGGGAGGGAGCCTGTCCCCTCGTGGACATCAAAGTGCATTGCAAGACCGCCTAGGACAAGGAGGCTGGCCAAGGCATGCATTTAATTTACAAATTATAGCCTGCTCTGGTAAATAACAGCGCCCAGCCAGGCATTGGTGGTGCATGCCTTTAATCCCAGCACTCGGGAGGCAGAGGCAGGTGGACCTCTGTGCGTTCGAGGCCAGCCTGGACTCCAGAGGAGTGCCAGGATAGGCCCCAAAGCTACACAGAGAAACCCTGTCTCTAAAAACAACAACAATAATAATAATAATAATAATAATAATAATAACAGCGCCCAGGTTTAAGGCACAGTGGAGGCAGTGGACACTGTGGTACAGTGTAAAGAGCAGAGAAAACCCGGGGTCCCATAGGGGAAAGAGGAGGCCTGACCTAAGACAGGGGCATGAAGGAAACTTGAGAAAGGCTTTGCAAAGGAAGTACCACCAAAACGACTTTAGAAGCTGAGTGGGAATTATCCAGAGGGTTGAAGGATGGAGGAAGCAGGACACACTGCCTCAGAGACGCACAGAAGGGCACGGGATGTGGAGTGGCTTCCAGTGGCCAGAGCCGAGGATCCCTGTGGAGCCAGCAATGTGGGCACAGCCAGATCTCAGGCCTAGGGAAAGGCTGGAGGAAGAGAAATGGGCGGGTGGGGCGTTTCTCCCAGTGACAAACAGGTGTCACTGGAGACTCCTAAGCGCGGCAGGAATGAATGCTAAGCCAGTGGAGAGATGCCAGGGCCCATTATGAGGTCAAGGCCACAAGCTAGAAGGAAATCAACAAGCAGGGTGGATGCCCTCGCGGTGTTGAACAGTGCCTCTGGGGCCCACAGCATGGAGAGAGCCAAGCTTGCCCAATCAGCCACTCTCGATACTGTCGAGCCAGAAAGCCCTGCCACCCTTTTTTGGGGCTTGGCTTTTCATCGTCTTCCAAGTGTTTGTTCTCTTCTTGCCCAGCTTCTTTCGGGTTCAAATGAGATTCTTCGAGCCTCTACTGCAGGCTGGTGGTTAATTGCACGGCTAAGCGGCTAACACTTCAAAGAGGCAGCAAGGCAGGGAAAACAAATTCCGCTTCTACATTAGATGCAGAGGATTCTTTGAATAAAAGGCTTTGCATTTGGGGGAGGAGATGGGAGCGGCGACATTTGTAAATATACAAGTGTGCTTCATGTCAGTGAGCAGCCAGGCACTTTGAATTCCACCCAGCAGTTAAGTTTACCTGGCTCAGGGATGTGGCTGGTGGAAGAAAAATAAACATGTTCAGAAGTCAGTGCTATTTCCGTGGATTGTTTGTGTCTGAGACACCCAGCCCTCTCTATAAAGTGATGTTGCGGGTTACCCTGCTCCTACACCCCTTGCGGGAGGGGGTGGGAAGACGCAGCACCAACCACTCAGGCACTGGGAGTCAGTGAGTAGCAGAGCGGCTGCAGACTCGTTTATCAAGGAAGTTAGAGCTGCCTTTATACCTCCTCCCAAGGTCCTATTGGCTCAGGGAGCTGACTCCACTGCATTGTCCTTTTCTCATTGGTGTCTTTGGTCAGGTGTCTCTTCCGCATTGAGGCCAGCTGGGCTTGGAGGAAGTGCCTGCCACGCATGCGCATGCAGGCTGGCCTGGGCACCTGCGGCTTG